TCTGTTCATTTATGGAAAAAGAAAGATATGGAGCATCCTTACTTCTTGAATAAAGTCCCTTTGTTGACTTTTCACAGGGAATACAACGGTGAGTGAAAGATGATTGCTATGTTGTTCATGTTTTTTTCCTTGAAGTACAGCCTTGTTGGACTGTCTAAAGCTGCTTATAGATTGTTTCCCAGACAGTTGGATCAGGAAAATATCATCTGATGTCTTTTTGCACCTTTAGGATAGCCATGGCCAAAAATTGTGATCCGATCAACACAAGATTATTCTGTAGTGTAATTGTGGTATAAATATGTACATTCATTCCTGCCAACCATTTATGTTTATGTACAGAGCAGACAGGCTTCATCTAGGGGAACAATACAATCAATCCATTTAATACTATCAATTTTTTTCCTCCAGAAATTGGTTAGCCCGGAGTGTCCAGGGTTAAAAAAAAACTCCCCTCAAAATGCACTGCAAGGGTGAGCTGTTCTTTATGTCTAGGGCACCGTGTGTAACGGACTTTTACTTACCTGATTCCCCGCCCCCTCATCCCTCCTGTGCTCTGGCTTGTGGACTGTCCCTTGCCATCTTGATGACATCAGCGTGCCTCTGATCACCAGAGCATAAGGGGGAGGAGGCACCAGTCTTAAAGCCTGTAGGCAGAGGAATCCCCTAGACATTAATGAGCTGTTAACCCTTTCAGAGTAGGGGATAGCCCCCACTGCAAGGGAAGTTTTCTTTTTTTGCCTGGAGATAGGCTTTAAATAATCTGACAGTAACTGACTGGATTGGGCTATAAACACTTGTGGCTGTTGGTAGTGGTCTACACACACACAGATTTAAATGTTTGATCACATATTGTTTTCTCCACTAGACAGATCAAACTCTGACTGCATGGATAAACATTGACAAGCCTCATTATCTTCAGTTTTAGTCTTGACATTCATATAACTATCAGTGATACATACTGTATGCCTCCTATGTCTCACTGTTTATAAAGATTAATTTAGAGTATGACCTATATTTTATACGTCATTGTATACCCTACCTATTCTATAACTGGCAGAAATTTATCTTTCACATTCTTTAATCATTTTATGTGTGATATTTATTAGGGTTTATATCATATTTTGTATATCCTATTTATTCTGTGTTGTATCCGGTGTTAATAGGCATTTAAAGAGTGAGTCTATCCAAAGCTTATATTTAATTTCTGTATGGAAGCTGGCAAGTTGAACCATCCACCAACTCCTTTTGTCTCTCTGAGCCTGCAGTGGCAAAATCCCCTGGTCACAATTTTTGAATATGTGGAAAGGCGGTCCCATCCTTTCTCCAAGACTGAGAGGTTTGGGTATTTCTTAGTAGGAAGGGCCTTGGTTATAAACACTCCTACTCCAAATCTTACCCACTCTTGGTAGTTGTTATTCTTCTACCTTTATTCTTTTGCATGTATATTAGCACTGGACAAATATTTAGTCTGTCATTGTAGAGCATTTCCCACAAATTGAAATATATAGATCCAAGAGTAAACATGTCTCATTCTCATCATGTGGAATAGGATGCATAGGATGAGGATTTAGGAGCTCTGGCAGGCGAATCCCATTACTATAGACCTCTTGTTTTATAGGAAGTGACAAGTGACTCAACAAGCAAGCTTCCACCCATAGCTGAGCTATAGGTTTTAGGAAGACTGGCCCTTTAATTTATTTTGTTTAATGGCTTGAAAGCTTATAGAACAGCACATATAGTATATTTTATTAGGAAAATATTAACCTTGGCATGATAAATGAAGTGTCAATTATTTATTAATTGCTATAAATTAAATATTAATATTTCACACATATAGATCTGGAAAGGAAGGGAAGTTTTTTTTTGGTTTGAAAAGGATATTCAATACTGTAGCTTTCTGATACTTTCTAGATGCCAAGGAGCTAGAATTACCATCATGCATTGCTATTATGTTTTTACAAATTTGTATAATATTTATAACATTCAGTGCAGTTTCTACCTTTTCCTGGTGATGGTTACTGTATATGGCACATAAATGTAAAGTAATTTTAAAAAGTTTGGTAATAAAGATCTTTTTGAAACAAAAAAAGCATTTTTGTGATGAAAAAACTTCAGTCATATACTTCAGTTATATACTTTTTTTTGCTAAAAAGTTTATTTACACGTTATTTTACATTGTACATATGCACATGATGGAGCTTATAGAATATAGTCACAGTAAAAAATGACAAGTAAAAAAACAGAAGGGGAATTGAACCACTAGGGTAGCCGATGTGTGAACATGTCTAGTTGTGTTTGAAGAGATCCTGCTTTCAAGAGGACCTTGCATCAAAATTAAGGTCTGTTTATTAAACAGTGATCCCCTCCTCATTGTAAAAGCACTGCATTACACCGTGAAAAAAAATTAAAAATACAGAGGTTCCTAAATCTCTCTAAAGACTTTCTTGCAATGTGCTGGAGTGACTTTGAGTTTTCTTTTTCAAGTTTTTTCCCCCTTATTTCACCTGGTGATCCTGCTAGTAACACTTCCTCGCCTAACGTGACAACACTCACCCCTAACACAATAGGGACATGGTTCTGTAGTGCTCAGAGATAGCTGAGAACAATATAATTGAAACAGTCAGCACAAGCGGAGAGAATAGGAAGTAATCAGCTCACAAGATTTCTGGCAGGATCAAGAGGTATTTTTAAAATCTATCAAATAAACCACCTTCAGTGGTATATTAACAGACCAAAGGGGGCCAAAAAAGAGAAGTTCATTTTTAGGGTTTACATACCCTTGAACCTTGCATTTTGGTGCATTCTTTAAGCACAAGTGTCCTGTTTTGGTTCTATGTTTTCAGGAATCAGTTATGCTGTGGCCAGCTTAAGCATGTCTGTTATGTATGATGCTGTGGTAAGATTCCTGAACTCAGGGTGCTAATTGCTACTCACGAGGGGTCAACCGATATGTTATTTTCAGAACCAATACCCATTATGGGCCACCTTTCGGGATGATAACTGATATCAGGTACCGATATTCTGTTTATATCCATCTGTGCATTCAGCTGAAAGCTTACATTCAGCTTAACAACAGCTGAATGTTAAAAGCAGCTGTTTACATTCAGCTGCTTACATTCAGCAAGCAGCTGAATGTAAACAGCAGGCAGTAGAAAAGCCAGCCTGCTATTAACTATTGTAAAATACAATAGCCAATAGAAGGCTGGCTATTGAACCTGCCCACTGCCTGCTGTCAATCAGCTGAGAAGCAGACCTGAAGGAGAAAGTTCTACTTGTGACCGCAGGGGGGACTACATCTGCTGTATTCTGTATACCCGAACAGTGCCAGCAGCTCATTGACTGCTGGCTGTTCGTACATAGATTTTTCAACTGGCTCCTTCGATAAGCTGATCAAGAGATGTCAGCCACACAGCAGGATCCACTGTGCGAATTTCACACAGTGTATGGCCACCTTTATTATCAGTAAATTTAATTGATACTGATAATTATAACATTTGTAAATATCAACCCCGATTTTTGGTAGATTCGATAATCGGTCGACCTTTACTACTGACAGCTACAGTTAAGCATGCAGTAGTTGTAATTATAAACAGTCAGCGCACCAGTGGAAAAAAGGGATACAATTTCGCTCTTCATCAGAGCCCTGATGAAAAAGGTCCGTCTTTGAAACCAGTCAGCAGTGATGCACGTTAGAGATAGTAGCTGCATGCTGTTTTGGGGATTTACTACAGGGAATATTTCCGTGCAGTGAGGACTGAGCAGGTTTCTTCCTAGATGCTCTTTTATGTGATAAAGTAAGATTGTAAAGAACGTTTGTGAGTACCAGTTTTAACATTTTTTAATAAAGGTTTTATAAAGGCATCACATGATGCTTGTGCGCTTTCTGTTTGCTCTATAGTTATGAATATTTATCAACCACCCAATCCCTGATGAGTATAAGCCAGTATAAGCCAGTAGTATGAGCTGAGAAAGGTGGTAAATATTTGGGACAACTTTTCCAATGGGTTCCCTTTGCTCTGAACTACTGTCCACAGGGGCGGTGTCACAGGGAGTCTTCTCAGATGGTGTCACTGCCCATAAGATTATTGATACTTTATCGACTGGAATCATGGACTTTGCCGAGTTAGTAAATGGGCAAAGCAAACACTGGAACCTTCATAGCTGAACTCAACATGCAGAATATATTGTCAAGCAAACTCCAGAAGCTAAACTGTGGATAATCTAATCCTGCCTTGCTACTGTAGCTTTGCATGGGGTCTACTAAAAGAGGTTGATGAATACATTAAAGTTACAGAAGCAGAAATTAATAAAAAACTGTTTTTGGATATCCTGTATTCTTCACCCCCTCTCTCACAAGTGTTTGTCATTAAAACCAGTTTATACCAGACCATTACTCATCTTCTTCAAATCCACTACAAACTAAGCATCCTGCCCTGAGACTGGATGTGCCTGAGAGCTCTTCTAAAGAAAATGGACTGCGGCATTTGTGGTATATACTTATTAGACCTAATGGGGTTCATCTGCTATGACCCTATGGCCGTAATAGCATTATATGTAGAAGAATTATGCATATTTTATTATTATTTGTTTTAGTCTTTTCAGACATCCAATAAAACTGGAGATTTCTAAATTGATTGGGATCCCTTCATGTAATGATATAAAGGCATCCCAAACTTCCACAAGCCTCTTTCCTGGTGTTGTTCATAATACAAGTTGGCTTGAAAAAGTCATATAAGCCCAGCTTCAGCCAAACCTGTTTTTAAGTGTTGGACAGAGTGCAGAAAAGGTTAGGACCTCCATAAGACTTTATTGCTACAGTGCCCCAATTTGTGAGATTTATCCCAGTTTCTGTTTCCTTTTTATATGACAGCTGCAAGGTGGAACAGAAATTATGGGAAGTCAACTCACTTCCTGTCTGTATGAAGAGAGTCACTCAGACAGAATAGGAAGTGAGTGAAAAATCTTACTACTATCTTTTGCTGACACTGCAATCTCCAGATTTAGCATGTTGGTAGGTAGTGACCATGGATGACATCCTCTCGTTTTCTGGCAGCTTTATTCTTGTACACGTGCGGCCTCTGTCGTGCTTGCAGTAATTGCCGATTGTAGAAGACAACAGTCACCCCTGTGAGGAGACACAGCACTATGCTGGCAGAAAACAATGCAATACCAATCAACAGAAAGTAGAGATATTCATAAAGCGTTATGAAGTCCTGGCAGTGGTCGAAAGAGCTGCGTTGAATCTGAAGCACCGGATACTGGTTCAGGTACTTTGGAATCCCACACAGTGTCCGCTGCTTTTCTGAAAGATAAATCATTTTTGTTGGTCAGATAAAAGGTTTGTGCACTGATTAAGATCCACAACAACTGAAAACTTTACATCTGTCCAATAATGCTGGAGCTCCCTGTAAAAGGCACAGATATCAACAATTTGAAGCCTAGCAGAAAACAGTAGCCTTTTTCCTTTTGATACATGTCAAGTGATCGAATTAAAGCCTAACTCCAAACACATTTTTTTTTTGTGTGGGGAAGAGTAGGGACAAATTAATTTTTTTTTTTTTAATTTCTGACTGTGGCCCTATTGGGGTCTCTTTTGCTGTCCTTGTGATGCCCATATTAGAATTGGGGTAGCAGTTATCACTGTGTCAGTAAGACAATTAAAACTAATGTCAAACACACTCATCTATTCATAACTAGCTTTTAAGCAAGGTGCACATGGAAGGGCTTTAAACAGTACTGTACAACAGAAAAAGGTTTCCCAGGACACTCACCAGTCAGCCTGCAAAAGAAAACTGTCTAACTACTAAGGTTAAAAACAGAGGTCTTAGTTGCACGTCTTCTGCATAATATGTGGAAGCCACACAGCCTTGTCAAGGTCCCCCTGTGTATTGTGGTCCGAACTCTAATCTACGAGAGCCTCCATTTTGGAGCATATATAGCAAAAGATGAATTGGGTGCAGGCTAAAACAGGAGGCAGCCCAACCTCCTTAAAAGGCACAGGGACACACCAGGAACTCTGCACATCACAGCGGCAGCTGGAGCCCCCAGTGTGTCCCCACACTACCCTGTTTCCCCAAAAATAAGACCTACCCCGAAAGTAAGACCTAGCACTATTTTTCAAGATTCCTGTAATATAAGGCCTACCCCGAAAATAAGACCTAGTTTGGCGGTAGCATGTGAGGGGGAACTTGAAGAGCAGGAGAGATGGTATCAGCCTGCAGGGACATACTGTATTAAGGGGATGACAGGGGACTCCCTCAGGCCAGTGCAGTGACAGGGAGCACTCCAGTACCATACTTCACCAACTGCTGTCCCCCCAAAGGCACTGCTTAATGTAATGGTACTGTACTGTACTGTATTGTGTACCGGTAAATGGTACCATACTTTACTGCGCTGTCCACTGTCTGATGTCCCCACTGCTGCACCGCTGGTACCGCTGTCCCTGATGGCAAAGCATGCCAGTGCTGTAGAAAGCAAGGCTGCGGCAGCGGAGGGAGCAGAGCCGCATTAGCAGATACTTCTTCTATAGCGCCAGTTACTGTGACAGGCGGAGTGATACCAGATAACGTTTGGATTGTTGTACATGAATAACTTTAGATTGTTGTACATTTTGTTGCACCGTAAAAAAAAAAAAAAATGAGACATCCCCTGAAAATAAGACATCCCCTGAAAATAAGACGTAGTGTGTTTTTTGGAGGCAAAAAAATATAAGACAGTGTCTTATTTTTGGGGAACCACGGTAAATCCAACAAGCAAAATGAATGGCAGACGCACTCATCAATTCATTACCAGCTTTAAAGCAAGGTGCACATGAAAGGGCTTTACACAGTACAACAGCAAAAAGTTTTGCAGCACACTCACCAGCCAGCCTTCCAAAAAATACAGTCTAACTACTAAGGTTAAAAACAGCTGCCGTTGTGATGTGCGGAGTTCCTGGTGTGTCCAGCTGGGAAACTTTTTGCTGTAGTAAGACAATTAAAACATTTGTCAGACATCCTATCCCTTCCCCACTACACTTAAAATGTGGTAAACTTTCTGGCAGGTTTTTATTTGTGTGTGACCCCATTAAGATTTTTTTCTCCCTTTCCGTGACACCAATAAAAAGTGGATCAGTTGTAATTGGAACAAAAAGGTCCAAACATTGCCCTTTCTAAGCTACAAAAAAAGGGTTTTTTTTGTCTGTATCTCCAATGGAGAGATTTCCCATGACTTCTTGACTTAGTAGGAAGTAAGGAGAAATCGACCCAATAAGGACACAGACAGAAATGAAAACCTGTAGAGGTTCTAGCCTGTCCAAAACAAAATAAAATGTTTTAGCTGGAGTTGTACTTGTACTAAAGCCAATTAAAGTTTTTGTTTAAATACATCAAATCAAAATATGTTCAATGCCTCACACTGTGAAAAATGGCCTGGATGGGAAGGGGGTTTAACACCGCGGATGTCAACTGGTTAACAGAGGCCACAGGTTAAGTATAGAAGCTTGTTCCCTGCCAGCAGTTGCAGAGAAGGACTATTTTTCCCTGTGGGGAAGCAGTAGTCTCTCTGCAGAGGTCCAACATAACTCCTGCTAAGAGCTACAGTTCTCCAATCAGCAGGGAGGGTGGGTTTTGCACAGAGTTCTGACTGACAAGGTGTGTGTTGAAACTCTGCAGAGAGACCACTACTTTCACACAGATTGCAAGGGTCCTTCTCTGCAGCATGCAGAAACAGGCTTTTCTACTACAACTGTGGGTGCCTTAGGGCCGATGCACACCTAAGCAACACCCCACCACGCGACAATCGTGCACGATTCGCGCTGTGGCCGCCGTTATTTTTCAATGGCACCCCAGACGCGCCGGGCGGATCGTGCAGTTTCCCCGCTGCGATTCCGCCAGTGCTTCCGAACACAGTTGCGACTAAAACAGGTACCTTTTTTCTGCGATTGCCGCGTGGTTGTCACCCCATTGAAATCAATGGTGCCGTGCGGCAATCGCTGCCTGCATTGTGCAAACAAGTACCTTTTTTTCTGCAATACATGAGGCACGGCTGTTTAGCCGCGATCGTGTTCGGAAGCACGGGCGGAATCACGTCGGGAAAACATGCGATCCACCCGGCGCGACTGGGGTGCCATTGCAAAATAATGACACCCACAGCGCGATCGGTGCACACGTGGGCGACTCCTGACCACACGGCAATCCGCGCGTAATTGTGCATGATTGCCGTGCGGTGGGGTGTTGCCTAGGTGTCCCTTACAAAAAAACCACGCTATAAGACATTGAACGCATTTTGTTTCAATGTACCAGTAATGCATGTAGCTGATTTAAACCAAAGTTAAACTGGGATTTAAAGCCTAATGTCTCCATTTGTTTGCTCACAATTAGATGACTGCAGTGAACACCTTCATTTAATTTACTAATCTGTGTGAGAATTCACTTTGGTAAATTTCTGCTCTTTATTAAATCAACCCTAGAAGGTTAGGTCAAACCTGTTTGACAACAATAGACTTAACATGCAAAAAGTATATGACAGTGTATCAGAACTGCATACCATCTGTGGTATATTTATATATTTTTGAGATTTATATGGCTTTATTTATATGTTTATCCACATTTATATGTAGACCAAGCTGTTCAGAGACAGAGACAGGGGTTGGGATTTTTTTCTAAACAGCCACCCTCTAAGAGAAGAAGAATGCCAGACTTGTGGGCACTCTGGTGAGTTCTATCTTTAGTCTTTTACGGCACCTGAAGAATCATTTGCACCCAACACACTTTCAGGTGTGCTAGATGCCTGCTCTTCCACTGTGTCTTGTAGTGATGTAGGGGCTGGCATATGGAACCAGAATGCACTGTTGGATCTAGGCAGAAGATTCTTTGGGCGCTGTAGATCTTTCAGAGAGCAAAGATGGATCTAACCATCCACCAGACTGGTGAATATTCTTCATCTTTTTTTGCAGGTTGGCTATTAACAAAACAATAGCGACAGAGTAACGTTAACTATGACACTGCCAGGAGGAGCTAAAGTTTGCTAACATCTTTGCAGTGTAGATAGTTCACAATAAAACCAGAGTTCACTTTATATTGTGGTTTAGAAAAGTCTATAGGAAAAAGCAAAACTCCACTTGAAGCAAACCCTGTTAACAGAGCAATATGGAAGCTGCTATTGCTGACTTGTGTTATAATGTACAATGTATAATGTTTTGGGGCTGTCTTAATTTGGTGATTCACATTTAGTGATTAACTGACCTGGAAATAGCCTGTAGCCACTGAAGTCTCAAAAATCTAAACTTCTCACCTGCAGACTTGTTCCAGGTTACAGATTCACCAAAAGCTGCATCTGGAAGACAGCTCCATATTCTGCACTACAAATGGCAGTTTGTTTTGAAAATAGTTCCTTACCGTAAATTTTTTCAGAATGGTCGATCATCCAGGAAAGAAGATACTGTATATGACAAGTGCAGGCCCAAGGATTCCCATCCAACCTCAATTCCACAAGAGACGGTAACTTGTACAGAATGTCTACTCTCAAGCCAGTCAAGTAATTACTATGCAGATGAAGGACTTGCAGGTTTGTCAAAGACTCCAACACATTCCCAGGTAGCCAGGAAATTCGGTTGTTTCCCAGATTCAAAGTTGTTAGACTGGACAGTGCCTGAAAAATCTCAGGTCTTAAAACCATCAGTTGGTTGCTGCTTAGATCCAAGTAGGTGAGGTTCTTCAGGTTTTGAAAAGTCTGATGGTGAATACTAAATATTATATTGTTTTGAAGCTCAAGGTGTTTCAAGTTTGGGTATTTGTAGAATGACATGGTCTTCAGGCTGTTGATTTTATTGTAGGCCAGTAGCAAGGAATGAGTGTCTTCATCAATATCTTCTGGAATAAAGTATAGTCCTTTGTCATAGCAGTCCACCTTTCCACTGGAACAAGAGCAGACATTAGGGCAACAAAATATATTTAGATTGTGGAGACCAATAAGGATAGATTGTATGAAGAATCTCACAAAAATCTTCATCTTTTGATCGACCTGTTCCACCAAAGCAAAAATCAAAGTGCAACTGGAGAAAGTGTTTCAAGACTTTCTGAAGCCCATTGCTAAACTAAAAGCATTGATCTTACAGGGTCTTCTTGAGTAGATCCTATGAAGTTCAAGAACTACCTTCTACGTTCAGCGAGGTGCGTGAAACTGGCATATTATATAAACTAGCCCTAAACTCCTAGGTTAAAAAACAGGTCATATGAGCTGTGCAAATATTCTTAGAGATTAATTGACGGCTGTGTGCTCTCTGCATTGCTGCATTGTTCTACTGTTGACAGAGAACCAAGAGGTGACTCCACCCAGCAGGATAAAGAAAGAAGATAAATATTTCTCACTCTAGTTAGAAAGGGTATATTGTAAGAGATTAACAGGGCTGGCAAAATAGTATTTGTGTTAGGGGTTGCAACATCAAAAGTTTCCTTTTGTCAGTCTAGAAGAATCAAGGTGAGAAATTAAAGGAGAGATTATCATAAAATAATGCTTAATACTTAATGGACCCATCGGGATCACTTATTATTATTATTATTATAAAATGGGAATCATTATTTAAGTTAATGACATCTCTTTTATATGTTTATGCTATAACTATATATTAAAGTGACTTTGACATATAAGTAAAGTTTACAAAGGAAGCATGTACCTGTGCATAAGACAAAGAACACTAATCCTTCCTGCGGCTGAACTCTGTTAATGAGAAATAGCCCTCCTGCTGGGAAACAGTAGATTTCCTTGGTCCCCCACAGCTCTCACTGTTCGTTTCTCCAACCTCCACTTCACTACTGTATCAGTCAGCAGGAGGAACCAGTAAATGTTGTGGGAGATCCAGGAGATTAACAATCCCGCAAGTGTCACTTTCCCAGCAGATTTAAGAGATCATTTCACACAAATGGAGTGAAGTTTAACATTGCAAGCAGGGGAAAAAGGTATTTCCTCTCTTCTGTAGAAGTACCGTACGTGCTTCCTTCATAAATTTTACTTCGATGACATGGTCACTTTAATCAAAGAAACATCAAAGAAAGCCTCCCTGTTACCCTTCTTGATAAGCATGCTTTCAATCACCGATCTATTGGAGGGGTGGGCAATGAGCTTAAAGTGACACTAAATTTAGAAGTTAAATCTTAAAATTGCATTCAAGTACCCTAACAAAAATCTTATTTGTGTATCACTCGACTGTAGATCCTCAAATCATCTCTGAATTGGTGTCGACACTGTCCTTCCTTCTGGAGGGTGGCTACTTTTATTCCACATTGTAACACTCAGCATGGATATCTGGATTTTTTGGATCTCAGCTACGGATATAATCAAGGTTTAATTCCTCCCCAAAGGGTTGCATGAAAACAGCTTCGCCAGTTAACAGTAGTTCAGAGGATTATCTACAGAACTCTTTAGACAATAGATACTTCACTTCCTCAGATAACTTTAGGTAAACTGAAATAGTCAATAAGGTAGGAATTCAATATATACTTGCAGTTCAGAGATACAACAAAGGAAGTCTGTAATAGGTTTCCAGTTTTGCATGGTTGCTGCTGAAGGGTTAACAGCCAGGTACAAGGCAACTTCAGGCTCCAGTGGATTTCATCTGAAGGAAGCATAACAGATACAATTTCTCCCAGATCATTAGGGGTCACTTGTGGTGTGGAATAGATGCCTGCTGTGAAGGAATCAGCAGTGGAAGTGGTTGGAAGATCTACTGCCAGAGGAGGATGGAAAGGATATCTCACGAGAGATAACTGCTGTGTCAGGTAAGATCTGCAGCCAGCAGAGGATGGAAGGGGAACTTTCTGTTGTACAGCAGTGACAACTGCTGTCTTAGGAGCTGCTCAATGGAGATGTTCAATTGCCAGTGTCCAGCTTCATTGCACGAACACTGTGCAACTGAATTTTCACGGCTTTAAGCCGACTAGGAAGGAGGCGACGTATGACATCACCGGCGGGGAGGCGGAGCTCCACGCCCAGTTCGTGACACCTGAGAGGTAAGTTTGTTACACACATGGTCCCTGTGTGTGTTGTAAAGTAGCCACCGCTCCAAGCTCACTCCACTGATGGGCCAAACAAACCCGACTTTGGTTATTGGCCATAAAAAGGGTATGGGGATTTAGGTACTGCCCTGGGGGACATGTATCTATGCAAAAAACACTTTGCCCACACTTTTGCATTGCTTTACCCACTGTGCGGAGCGCTGTGCTTTGTGGGGCACTTGGTGGGCGAATAGCCCGCCGAACGCCCTGATAGTTTGTGTGTTCGCCGAAGTAAGTATCTTTGTCACCTGTTTAGTTCAGTTTTTATGTGGTGGAGCAACAGGGTGAAGTTCGCCTCAAATGGATGTTGCAACTTGAAGGTAACTTTTGCACCAAGTAGGGATGCACCGTTACCGATACCATTATTGATGCCCGTACAGGGCATTTTCACGAGTACTTGTGACAATGCACAGATACTAAACGCCGTCATAGAGGTGCTATAAATGTTTAAACTGAAGCAGTTGCCTGAGGTCCCGCGCTTGCTGGGGACCTCAGCAGTCTTCCTGTAAACAGCACCGGCTGCACATTTCCTCCTCCTTACTGGGGAACCACCAAGTTTCTTCCATAAATACTTTTTTAACACTTGCCGAGCCATCTTCTAAAAGATCCAAAGTGGTATCAGGGGGAAATTGTAAGAATTTTGCCCTGTCAAAACAGCGTGATCAGAGACTTTTTACCACTGAGCATTCCTCAAAAAGGCATACAACCAGGATATAAAATATTTCCATATTTCTGGTTTAAATAACTGTGACAGAGATTGATGCAAGTGTGTCCATGTCTGGGGCCAACACCCATTTTAAATAATTGGCAAGTTGTGCATAATAGAAAAGGTGAGAGGTTGGTATGGCAAATTTAGCTTGTATGAGGGAAAAAGGCAATAGTTGTTTGTCATGATCCAAGAAGTCTGCTGAGTTTTTTTTATGCCTCTTGAGTCCCAAAATATAAACAATTAAACTCCCGGCCTTGTGGAAATCATGACGTAGATTATATCGGCAAAAGGAGGGTTACATGGCCAGGGCTATAAAGGAAATGATTCACCTCCTGCTAAGCGAGTATGATATCTCTAGAAAAGATGTTGTGCTTTATGACAGGTGGCAAAGGAAGAGTGCCCGAAAATGACCAGGAGTTTGTGATTTGGACCTCCAAAGTGGCATTCATGTAGAAATGAGTGCTACTGATCTACTCTCTGGTGTGATTTTAGCCAGTATGTCAGTAATTAGCTGCCAAGGAAGCAGCAGTGTTTAAGCAGAGTCACTCACATATGCCTCTTTTCTGCAGTGACCACCATACTAGTGATATGCCTGGGTACTGGTCACTGAAGGAAGTCTCAAGTACCACCTTTTTTTTTAGGAAAGGTACGTCTTTGGCCACATGTGTCTCCTTCCATGAGTTCAATGCAGCGTAATTGTGAGGGCTGCAGGTGATTATAGGTCTGCTTTAGGTAAAGCAGCACAATATAAATTTGTTATTTGCATATTAAACTTTGGATGTACTGTATGTGCCCTACATGTCTCTAAGAGAGCTATGGCTTTCACTTACTATGTTACTGTTTGTGTGTCATAACTAGCAATAAACTGATTGGTGCATGAGATAATATAAAAGTAACAGATTCTCCTACACTCTCAAAGCTGGAGACCACTTACTATGCCAAGTGATGTTGCAATAGTGCCGCTACAATCACACTTTAAGCTGTCCATAGTCTTACTGGGCACAACACACTGTTTATTACTCATGCTTATAGAGCACAATAAAAGAGAATTACATCAATGTAATTGATGCGCTGTTGAAAAGAAAGTGTTCTTGTGCATTTTGTTTAATACAATTCAGTTTGATTTGCAAGGTTTTTCTTCATTCAAGGACATTAAATTGAGCTATGCAAACCCTCCTTATACTCCTGTGCTCATTCTAAATTGCTTATTTGGAGAACATATAAACGCTTTTCACTCACCTCATAGTTCTAGCCGACCTGTGACAATGAGACTGTCACAGGTCAGCGCAGTAGATCGGGAAGTGAGCGAACACATACCGGCGTTCGCTCACCTCTCCATCCTGTCACAGCTCTCTGCCGTGACAGGGGAGGGGCTGGATTCCCCGCTCCGATCGGCCAGCGCTGACTGGCGGAACGGACGGGGAGGGGGTGGGTACAGCTGGCTCTGCCTCTAGATAGGCAAAGCCAGCTGTCACTCACGCAGCTGGGCGGACCCACACATAATTGTCGGGATCCGCTTCAGCTGCGGCGTCTCAGTATACCGCGAGCAGTAGCTCGCGGTATACTGAGCTTAGGGTGACGGGAGGACGCTAGTTTGTGTCCTTCCGTTACCCTAAGGAGAACTATGGGGAAAAGCCATAACCCCATAGTTCTCCTTTAATGTGACAATAACAAAATCAGATAAGAGTAAGGTAATAGTCTGCTTCCAGTTCAGTTCTAGGAGTAGGTTAGGTACACAGTATACTCTTCCGTCAACAAAAGCACACAAACTGTGACACAAAATGAAGACAGATTGCAAGCAGGGTTGCAGAGTAACAGTCTAAATCATTCTATTATACCTAGATTGGCTAAACAGACATCCAGCCCTACCTAAAATGCAGAGCCAATAATTCAGTGTGCATAAAGTTGTCTCTAGCTAGTTAGCTCTCTTAAATGTCAGATCTAGAAACCTAGCTTCAATTGGGGCAAAGCTTGGGGAAGAAAAATGCAAGCCAACCTGAATGGATTTCTCCATAGCCAACATAGTCCAACGTAGTCTGTGCATCTAGAACCAAGCTACTAGAACATTGCATCAGTTTTCAAACTCTTTTAGATGTCAGTTCTAGGTGTAGTGATGTAGAGCAGCCAAACTGTCTCTTTCAGCCTCTCCTTCGCCAACCTTGGTGTGCTTTGTGTAGCTATAACTACAGTTAGAGGAGTAGAGTAGAGTAGAGAGTACAGTTGTTGTATAATTAAAGAGAAACCGCTCCATAACCTTAAAAAAAATCTGTCACTTTGGTCATTCTTTTTTTTAACATTCAATTTGTATTAATTTCATTATCTGGGCTTCCATTTATACACTTATTAGTATACTACGGTTTACTAAAGTAATAGAAGGAAATATAAATAATTATAAACAATGAGCCTCATATGATTCTAGGTCATTCCCCCTTCATAATTACAACAAACAATTCCCCACAAGGGAAAAAGAAAGGGGAATAAGAAGCTTAATAGTCAACATTAATAAAAGGGGAAAGGGGAGGGGAAGACGGACGGAGGGCGAGGGGTCATAGTATGACCTGGGCATCCATTTATACACTTATTGGTATACTACAGTTTAACCAAAGTAATATAGAAAAAACAAACAATTATAAATATAGACAACGGGCCTCATTGTGGGCCTAAATCCCCTCCCCCTACGTAGTAGTAACCCCCAATTTCTATCAATGTTTTTCAGGAGTCATCCACGTTATCTAAATACATATCTGTTTGTTGAAACTCAACCCATGGCTGCCATCTATTCTTACATGATTCATATTTATCATGTTTAATAGCGGTCAGTTCTTCCATCCTCCTGTAGTATCCTATCTTTTTAATCCATTCCTTCAGAGTGGGAATAGTTGCTGTTTTCCAATGTAAAGGGATTAAGATCCTAGCTGCATTCAAAAGAGTGGGAATCAACAACTTTTTATATGTAGATACGGGGATTGTAGTATTATGAAGTAGACATATCGATGGTTCCAATGCTATATGGATATTCACGATTTTCCCTATTACTTGTACGATCTGTTTCCAAAATGGCTGAAGTTTGGGGCAAGACCACCATATATGTACATAGGAGCCGGTGGCCCTGCACCCCCTCCAGCAAGTAGCTGCGCTGAAGGGATGCATTACATGTACCCGATCCGGGGTGTAGTACCATCTTGCCAGAAACCAAAATGTCGGGTCTGTTACCAAACTACTAATGGATAAAATAGAATTAGCACGCAATATACCTTGTTTTTGAGAGTCAGTCCATGTGGCTTTTAAGTCCCTTTCCCATTGTGTAAGATATTGTGGAA